GGGCAAATTATTGGGTCAGGTGACCGGAGGCGAAAAATAAGTTCGGACATCCAATAAAAATTTGCCGCGTCACCTTGCGCTTTAGTTGCGCTTTACTTGCGCTTTACCTGCGCTTTAATTGCTCTTTTTGACTTGCGCTTTAGTTGTGCTTTACTTGCGCTTTAGTTGCATTTTACCTGCGCTTTACTTGCGTTTTACCTGCGCTAAATTTAAAATAATATTTTATTAATATCCGAATCTATCTCTGCGTACGATCACCTGACCCAATAATTTGCCCTCTTTGCGGCCATCTCCCTCTATCAATCTCTCTCAATTGTCATCCCCCCCGGCTGTCATCTCTCTCTCCATCTGTCTGCTTAGGTGTAATGCGGCGTATTTCATTCAATCAAATAATTTATTGTACTTTGGAATGCGCCATTGCTCCTACTTCAAGTTTTGTTAATGTTAATTAATGCTTATTCTACTAATTTTAATAATTATCATGCTCTTTTTTTTTTTAAATAATCCTTTAATTAAATTCTACCTCCCAATATAGAGTTTTTACTGATAGAAGAAGGAAAATTATATAAACAATATTAAAAAAATCACTCAAGTTATGTGGATCTAAATAACTAGTGATATATGTGCATAATAGATTACTTTCATGAGAATTTTTTTTGTCAAATTCATATTTAATATTCAAATAAATTTGATATATAATATATAGATATAAATTTCAAAAGTTTTTCAAAAATTGATTTTTTAATGACGCAACTTCTTAAATTATTTCATATGTTGTTCAATTAAAAATTTATGAAATATTTTCACTTTTTTTAATCACATATACAAATAAAAATATTTATAATCTTGAATCAAGATTAATAAATCAATTTAAATTTTAAAAAATCTAATTATCTTGAATCAAGAATATGTGGCTATAATAACGTTTTTTTTTTATATTTGGTTTCGAATAATCTTTTTATTATTTTTTAAAAATAAAATTTTAATATGAAAAAATTATATTATTTTTTTAATAATATAGTTAAGCTGGATCACGGAAAGGCTCACTACTATCAGACTGCGCAGGAGGAGAGGCCACAGCGGTGGGTCTGTTAACCTCAAGCCAATGGTTTCCTCGTCATCAGAAACGGTGAGAATACCCCATGCCGTCTTGCTATCTTTCCCTGCGCAAGGCCACCTCAATCCAATCCTCACCCTTGCCAAGATCCTTCACATCGTCGGCGGCTTCCGCATCACCATTGTGAACACGGAGTTCAACCACCGCCGCCTCCTCCGCTCCTCCTCATCGGCAGCCGCAGCAGCAAATAACGCGATCGATGGTTTCCACTTCACCGCCATCCCGGACGGCCTCCCTCCGAACCGCTTTGACGCCAACGCGACACAGGACATCCCCACCCTCTGCGCCTCCACACGCCGGCACTGCCCTGCCTTCTTCCGCCACCTCCTCTCCACCCTTTCTCCTCCGGCCACCTGCGTCATCGCCGATGGCTCCATGAGCTCCTCCGCCGCTGTAGCAATGGATCTTGGCATCCCCGCTTGGCTCTTCTACACCCACAGCAGCTGTGGCTTCTGGAGCTACTTGAACTTCGCGGAGCTAATGCGCAGAGGATATTCACCACTTAAAGATGAGAGCTTTTTAACTAACGGATACCTCGACACAAAGATTGAAGTGATTCCCGGAATGGAGGGAATCCGACTCCGGGATCTGCCGACTTTTATCCGCACTACCAACCCGGACGATCTGATGTTGCAGATCATGCTCAAGAGACCCGAGGAAGCGAGCTGCGGCGTCGGGATCATTCTTAACACCTTCGACGACCTCGAGCCTGACGTTCTCGCTGCTGTCCGGTTCAAGTTCGGCAACTTGTACAGCATCGGCCCATTGACTAAATTTAAAAACCTGGTTGCCACAGATTCAGAAGCAGCCATGATTGGGTCCAGTCTATGGAAGAACGATTCAGGGTGTTTTGATTGGCTCGACGAGCAAGAACCGGGGAAAGTTGTTTATGTCAATTTCGGAAGCATCACAGTATTGTCACCACAGCAGCTGGCGGAGTTCGCTTGGGGGTTAGCCGACAGCGGCTATCCTATCCTTTGGGCAATCAGACCGGACATGGTGAGCAGCGGCGGTGCGGCTGAGGCTTTGCCGGAGAATTTTGTTAAGCAGGTTGAGGAGAAGACGAAGGTAAAATCAGTTCTGAATTTCTACTAGCTAATATGGTGATTTTTTTTTATTGTGGCAAAACATCGAACAGGTGGTAGCGTGGTGCGACCAAGAGGCGGTTTTGGCCCACCCGGCGATTGGAGTCTTTCTGACGCATTGCGGGTGGAATTCGACGCTGGAGAGTTTGTGCAACGGGGTGCCGATGGTGTGCTGGCCCTTCTTTGCCGAGCAGCCAACGAACTGTCGATATATTTGCGAAGAGTGGGGGGTGGGATTGGAGATTGAAGGAGAGGTGAAGAGGGAGATGGTGGCGAAGTTGGTGAGGGAAGCCATGGAAGGAGAGAAGGGGATGGAGATGAAGAGAAGGGCTTTGGAGTGGAAGGAGAAAGCAAGGAGAGCGACTGAGCCTGGTGGTTCCTCGTATGCAAACGTTGAGAAACTTACGAGGGATTTGGTCCAGACGAAAGTAAGTGAAGCAGAGATCATTTCTGCCGGCTTTCATCACCAAATTAATGAAAAACTTGTTCAGTAATTTCGCTATATTTAGACTTCAAAACTCTTGTCACCCACCAATTGGTTTCATACAGGAGTTGTATGCGATCTTTCTAGCTTTTAAAGAATAAAAGTATTTCTTATTAGCTCAAGAGTTTGTGTTATTCAAATGGCCATCAATCTCTCTACTTTTTGTACTTCAGAAAAAACGTCATGATCATTAGGTATATTTTTTCAAAAATTCATATTTGTTCTCAAGCATAGAACAGGAAACTGCAACTTGATGGGGGCGCAATTAGGGCTTGTTTGGGTTGCTGCAATATTTTATAACGTTGAGTGTGAAGTTGCCATGAAAAAAATAACTCAATTATTCTGACTGCGAAAAGCAAATATCCACCTAGAAAATTTTAAAAAACAATAAGAAATGTTGGAGACATTCTATTTGACTATAAGTTTGCTGAAAAGCAGAATTTGGATTGTCTCAAATTTAATTTTGAAAGTTCCGAACTTAGATATACCTCAAGATTCGTATCCGCCCAAGATGATTTTTGGTGAAGTATATCACTTCAATTGAATAATCCATGTGTAATTGTTGGAATCTATGTTCTTTTTCTGATGTTATGTGTGGTGTCTTCAGATTTGAGATTTTGAAATAGATTTACGAGGGAAGTAATAAAATATAAGCGGAATTGTTGACTTCCTCTCTGCTCAAGCCAGAAAACTTCATCCTGAAGTACCTGCAAGTTGCTCTTCAAGATGTTGATTTATGTTATTTATTGTCACATTATATATTAATAACCATTGTTTAGTTTCTGCATAGTTTAGGACAAAATATCTGACCCTTGAATGGCTGAAAGCAATTCGGGTTTGTTCCTCGTTAGTTTATTGAATGTTTTGTCTACTTCCATTTACATTTTTAGACTAGGAGGAACCTTCATGTGAGGATAATTTTGATTGGTTTAGCCTACTTGAACTTTGCAATGGCTATGAAAGAGATGCTATTTTGGTCACATAAGTCGGCCTTCCGATGACCTGATTAGGAGAATAGATTTATTAGATTTGACATATGTTAAGAAGTGTAGCCGTAGACCTAAAAAGACTTTATTATAAAATATTAAAAATGACTTACTTTTATTAATTTAAATGTGAATTTGACTCTTAACAATACATAATGAAGAAAACTGATTCATGTAGCCGACCCCAGATAATGGATAAATGCTTGATCTGTTGTTATTGTTGAATTTTTTGACACTTCATACTTTGATGCAACTCTGTAGTTTAAACCCTATTTGGTTTATTAGATTAGAAAACATATTTTGGGAACCAACAAACTTTTGCAAGTACCATAGCTTAGTTAAAAATTATTAAAGGTTTGAAGTTCATTAATTTCATGATAATGAATTCGATTTCACGCATAAATTGAGTTTAAAGTAAATCATTACCTTTCAATTTATTTTTGGATGCTTGACCCATCTGTTTGCCTATTAGGTGTCTTGGATAATTATTGGCTCATATCACTTATCCTACTTAATGAAGATTCTCCATTAGCCATGATGTAGTTTGAACCATGTTAACTAAGCAATTCCACTAAGCTTGCCCATTGGTTGACCCAACCTAGCTCCATTGACCTACTTGACCCATTTGACCATTTGGGAGCAAGAAGGCTCATTATGACATATCAGCATTTGAACTCTCTTAGAATTGATCCTTAGTGTCTGTGTGAGTTTAGATCACGTCTTAATTTGGTCACTTAGTATCGAGCTCAAAATGACCCAAATTTGATCTAATTGACCTAATTAGGTGTAATTGGGTTTATTAAGCCCACAAACATGTAAGCTCCATTAGACTTGATTTTTATTTGCCAATGAAGTCTAAATCAAGCCTCACTTGTGTCACTTGATTCCTTGAGTCCACATGAACCCAAATTGATCCATTTGTATCCATCTATACAATAGAATTCTACTTACGCAGGAAAACACAATTTAAACCAAGGCTAGTTGACCATATATATACACTAGACCCTAAGGATGCCAAGTAGACTCAACAATGCCACTCTTTACACAAGTTGAACCCAAAAAGACTCAACCCAAATCAAATTGTGCCTTCTTTGGCTTGGGTCCTAATTGCACCCATAAATAATCATCTCCAACCCCATTATACTTAACAAGTCAAACCATTTTCATCACGTCATAAACTAGAATCTTCCTTTTATCTTTCATCAACAAAGATGACCAATAGCCTCTGTCATTTATCAATAATGCCGCTTTTTATATCACTTCATATGATCTTCAATTAAAATTTTATAAAATATTCTCACTTTTTAAATTCATACATACAAATAAAATATTTATAATATTGAATCAAGATTAATAAATCAATTCAAAATTTAAAAAATCTAATTATTTTACCTTTTTCTAGAGTTTCTTAGAATTTTTATTTAGAAATAAATTTTACTTATTCACATCTCTAAGTGTATGTGCATACAATCATAAAATGACAACTAGCGGATTATATCAATAACATTTTCGACAAATGACGATTGATAATCCTATTCATATTAAGTTGGACATGGTGCTTGTTAATGATCTCTAGCTTGATAAGTATCTTTTGTCCTTTTATGAGGTTGCTTCCCCTATTTGGTCTGAGCACTCTTCTTTTTTTGTGAATTTTAACACCTTTAGGCCTGTTAAGCATATGTTTATGTTTAAAAATTTTTGGCTTAAAACTCCTGATTTTTGAAATGTTCTTCTTTCTATGTTTTTTGTATGGCTTATCAAGGTGATCTTACTTCAATCTGATATAAAATAATAAATCAGCTTAAATAAGCTATTTAAGTCTAAAAATTGGGCCTCTTCTTACATTATTGTTGATAGAATTTTTTATCTCCTTTTGAAGCAAAAAGATTTTCTTTCTAATCTTAATGTCAATCTTCGTTCTTACTCTCTTAATAGCTATTTAAAATTTATGAATGATAATCTTGCCTTCCTTCTTCAATCCATGGCCTCTTGGATTATTCAAATGTCCAAGGCTAAGTTGCTTCATCAAGGTAAGGATTACTTGATTTTTTTTTTTTTTTTTTTTTGGCAGAATTAAGTTGAGACAAAATTATTACTGTATTAAAATCATCTCTACTAAATAGGGAGTGTTCTCATCTCCTCAATATTTAGTTAATTTATGATAAATCATTTTTATGGTTTACTCAATACCACTTCTCATTTATCTGAGGTTCATCCCTTTCTTCCCACTGGCTCTATCATTCCTTCCCATCTAGTCTCTTCTCGGGTTGCTCCTGTTACTGATGAGGAGATTAAGATGGTGGTTTTTTCTAACCCTAACTCATCTACTCCTAGCTCTGATGGTTTTACCTTTGAGTTTTACAAGAATTCCTGGTTAGTGATTGATAATCATGTGTGTAAGGTTATCATTTTTTTTTCACAAATACTTTCTTCCAAAAAAAAAAGTTAAAGCCTATGTTATTGCCCTGACCCTCAAGGGGGGCTCATGCTTCTCATATTAAGGACTATAAGCCTATCTCTTTATATGATACTTTTTATAAAATTATTGCTAAGATTTTAGCTCTAACACTTAAGACTATGATGCCCTTTATTATTCATGCTAATTAGTGTGGGTTCAGTCATGATAGGATTGCCATTGATAATATCATTCTAGTCTATGAAATTCTCTCTAAATTCTATACTTAGGGGAAGTCTATGTTTTTCTATGTTAAAATTGACATTTTTAAAACTTTTGATACGGCTTCCAGGTCCTAAGCCCGAATGAAAAGGTTGAGGGTTTTTTTAATTCAATAATCTATACCACCACATGAAAAAAAAATTAGCTCCGCCCTGACTTAGGCAACCTTCATTGATAATTTTTGTATAAAGTGTTTCGTTGCTTCTTGAGTTTGGTGGGCTTTTTTAGGTTGTTTTTTCAACTTTAGCTCTTTTTAGGTGTTTAATGCTATGTAATCTTTTATTTGTACTCCCATTTTGAATCTTTTTTGTATGTCCCTTCTTTGACAATGAAAAAAGGGTTTGGCTCAACAAATTTTTCAAAAAAATAAATTAAAATCTTATTTGACTTCTACCGTTCTCTTTAATAGAGTATTATGGATCACGGAAAGCCTCGCAGCTCACGCGCACACAGCAATTACTACGCAGGAAGAGAGGCCACAGCGGTGGGTCTGTTGTCAACCTCAAGCCAATGGTTTCCTCGTCATCAGAACCAGTGAAAACACCCCACGCCGTCTTGCTATCTTTCCCTGCACAAGGCCACCTCAATCCAATCCTCACCCTTGCCAAGATCCTCCACATCGTCGGCGGCTTCCGCATCACCATTGTGAACACGGAGTTCGACCACCGCCGCCTCCTCCGCTCCTCCTCATCGGCAGCCACAGCAGCAAATAACGCGATCGATGGTTTCCACCTCACCTCCATCCCCGACGGCCTCCCTCCGAACCCCGTCGACGACAACGCGACACAGGACATCCCCGCCCTCTGCACCTCCATACGCCAGAAGTGCCCTGCTTTCTTCCGCCACCTCCTCTCAACCCTTTCTCCTCCGGCTACCTGTGTCATCGCCGACGGCCTCATGAGCTCCTCCGCCGCTGTAGCAATGAAGCTCGGCATCCCCGCTTGGCTCTTCTACACCCACAGCAGCTGTGGCTTCTGGAGCTACATGAACTTTGCGGAGCTAGTGCGCAGAGGATATTTGCCGCTTAAAGATGAAACCTTTTTAACTAACGGATACCTCGACACAAAGATTGAAGTGATTACCGGAATGGAGGGAATCCGACTCCAGGATCTGCCGACATTTATCCGCACCACCAACCCGGACGATCTGATGTTACAGATCATGCTCAAGAGACCCGAGGACGCGAGCTGCGGCGTCGGGATCATCCTCAACACCTTCGACGCCCTCGAGCCTGACGTTCTCGCTGCTGTCCGGTACAAGTTCGGTAACTTGTACAGCATCGGTCCATTGACTAAATTTAAAAGCCTGTTTGTCACAGATTCAGAAGCAGCCACGATTGGGTCCAGTCTATGGAAGAACGATTCAGGGTGTTTGAATTGGCTCGACGGGCAAGAACAGGAGAAAGTAGTTTATGTCAATTTCGGAAGCATCACAGTATTGTCACCACAGCAGCTGGCGGAGTTCGCGTGGGGGTTAGCTGGCAGCGGCTATCCAATCCTTTGGGCAATAAGACCGGACATGGTGAGCAGCGGCGGTGCGGCTGAGGCTTTGCCGGAGAACTTTGTTAAGCAGGTTGAGGAGAGGACAAAGGTAAAATCAGTTCTGAACTTCTACTAGCTAATATGGTGAATTTTTTTTATTGTGGCAAAACATCGAACAGGTGGTAGCGTGGTGCGACCAAGAGGCGGTTTTGGCCCACCCGGCGATTGGAGTCTTTTTGACGCATTGCGGGTGGAATTCGACGCTGGAGAGTTTGTGCAACGGGGTGCCGATGGTGTGCTGGCCCTTCTTTGCCGAGCAGCCAACGAACTGTCGATATATTTGCGAAGAGTGGGGGGTGGGATTGGAGATTGAAGGAGAGGTGAAGAGGGAGATGGTGGCGAAGTTGGTGAGGGAAGCCATGGAAGGAGAGAAGGGGATGGAGATGAAGAGAAGGGCTTTGGAGTGGAAGGAGAAAGCAAGGAGAGCGACTGAGCCTGGTGGTTCCTCGTATGCAAACGTTGAGAAACTTACGAGGGATTTGGTCCAGACGAAAGTAAGTGAAGCAGAGATCATTTCTACCGGCTTTCATCACCAAACTAATGAAAAACTTGTTCAGTAATTTCGCTATATTTAGACTTCAAAACTCTTTTCACCCACCAATTGGTTTCATACAGGAGTTGTATGCCGTCGTTCTTGCCTTTAAAGAATAAGAGTATCTATTTCCCTTCTTTGTTGGAAAATTTTAATCTGTTATCAATAATAGCTCATTATCTCCAGCTGGGAAGATATTATCTTTAACTCTCTGTACTGTCGCCTGTTGTCCCTCTTCATATTGCATCATTCTCACGCTGAATTTTTGTCGCCGCCGATTTTGACCACCGGATTAGATTTCGATTTTTCCATAAACATTTGATATAAATAGCTAATTATTGAGTATTAGATTTCTCAATGATGGAGATAAAGAATTTAATTATTTATGCATCATGTTTGTCAAATATTCCTGGGGTGATTTACATATATACCACTTTATTTTATGCTATTTGCATATCTAATGTTTAAAATTTTACTATTACATTCCTATCATTCATATTAAATTTTTATATCAAATATATAACTAATATTTATTCTATCATTGGTACACATGTAAAATTAAAATTTTAAGTATTAGGTATGTATAAATAACATGAAATAAAGTGATATGTATGTAAATTCTCCTTTTTTTTATTGGCAGGTCCTCAATGAACCGCCTTGTTGCCAAGAAGAACCTCATTAATCATTTTTTCAAAGTTAACTAGCGAGGCTCCATCGGGGTCAGTAGCCTTGATTGCACTTTCCTTCCACTCCATCGCCTTCTTCCTTATCTTATTCCCCTTTTTCTCCCCTGTCATCATCTCCCTTATGAGCTCCTCCACGTCTTTTCTTTTCACATTGTTGTCAATCTCCATCCCCAGGCCCCATTCCACGCAGGTGTACTTGCAGTTGGTTTGTTGTTCTGCAAAAAATGGCCAGCAGATCATCGGCACGCCGAAGCTAATACTCTCAATAGTGGAGTTCCAGCCAGAATGCGTTAGAAAAACACCAACCGTTGGGTGCATGAGCACCTCCTCTTGCGTGCACCAACTAACCATCAATCCTCTCTCTTTGGTCTCCTCAATGAAATCTGGCGGCAACACAGAAGATTCTCCTTTGACAAGATCCGGTCGTATCACCCACAAGAAGTGGTACCCGCTATTAGCCAACCCCCATGCGAATTCCAAGAGTTGCTCATTGCTCATCACTGTAATGCTTCCAAAGTTAACGTACACGATTGAGCGAGGTTCACGATGACGGTCAAGCCAGTCGAGGCAGAAATCGTCCTTCTTCCATAGGCTTGTAGTGATGGTGGCGATGGGGCTTTCATTTGAGATTTTATTGCAGCTGAGAAGAGTGAGAGGGCCAATTGAGTAGATAGGAGGTAGTATTTTCTCCAGTGTCGTGATAGCCAATTGCTCAAGGTCTTCAAATGTGTTGAGGATAATGGCGGAGGCCTGGGAAGCTCGCGATGTCTCTTGGAGTGCAAAGTTTAACATGATATCATTGGCATCCACGGTACGAAGGAAGGTAGGGAAATCCTTGAGTCGCATGTCCTTCATAAGCCCCGGCAACCAATCCACCCTGGTGTTAAGGAACCCGTCGCTCATATTCCCAACATCTGTAACATTGAGAAAAAAACAATAAAATTAAATATTTCTAAAATATATAACAATTCAAGAAAACAAATTCAAGCAGAGTATTTTGACGGTCAAAGAAGATAGCGAGTACATGAAACAAGTAGGTGATGATTAAAATTTAGAGGAATCAAATCAACTGCTCGTCCTCATCCAAAATGGTTACCTTTGAGAGGAATAAGGCCACGGTCGATGAGGTGACGATAGTAGTTGTAAGCGAGGTAGCCGCAGGCGCTGGTTGTCCAGAAGAGAACCTCAGGAATGCCGAGCTCACGAGCAGCGTCGAGGGTGAAGGACATGGATCCATCGGCGACGATGCATGAGACTGGTGGTCGGTTTTTATTGTTTTCTTCATTGAGTTCTGCAAGGAGATGGCGAAGATGGGGGAGACAGTTCTTGGATGTGGAATCGCAAATAGCTGGAGCGTCCTGTGTGGCGTCTTCTTCGGAGAAAGGAAGACCGTCGGGGATGGTTCGGAACTGGAAGTCCGGAAGCCCCCTGATGGCCTCCTGGCCGGAGGAGAGGACCAAGCGGCGGTGATTGAACTCAGTGAGGACAAAGGTGATGTGGAAGCCGTAGGTGTGGAGAAGCTTGGCAACCTTAAGCATGGGGTTCATGTGCCCTTGGGCTGGAAAAGGGACACATACTGCGTGTGCTTTCTCTGATGAAGCGGAACCCATCGGCTCCGTCTCTCTCTCCGTGTGTCTCTCTTTCACGTCCTTCGCGTATTTATGAGAAGATGATGAAGGAGAGAGAGACTTTTTCAAAGCAAAGTCTCCTCTTCCTCCTCCAGTTTTCACAGTTTGATAGCTTTAATTTGGGGAAATTCATATAAAAACGTGCAGTTGACTACAACTTTTTAAAATTGATTTTACAATTGATACGCAATCAAAAACAGATTTGATCGAACAAGACTCTCAAGTTCAAAATAAGACCGTCGAATTTGAGCAAATATATAGCTAAATTGCACATCTAAAACGAGACCAATCGAACAACATCAAAGATGATTCCATCCAAACCCGAATAAGTCTAGATGGAAAATTTGAAGCATTATAGTAAACTAAACCACACTAATTAAAAGATCAAATAATTTTTAAAATTTACATACTCTTAAAAAAATTGAGTGTATCAATGAGATAAGCATAAAGAGTATAAGATTTCCTAATTTTATTATCAATAATGCATCTTAATGCAACATAAAGTTTATAATTGAGATATAGTGCATGTTTAAGAAAAATTGATTGTATTTAGAAGAAAAAAATTTATAAATTGGCCCTCAAAATCTATTTATATTATATTATATTAACATTATTCTCATTGTAAAAATATATATAGGAAAAATAGAACATGAAGAAACAGTGAAGAATAAAGAAGAAGCTCTTTGTGGTATTTCTCATTTCTATATTAAATGCACTGTAGAGTATATTTATGTTAATGCTGAATGGGTATGCATCAATCTGTTGGAGCAACACAAATAATGAACATTGTTGATTTAGGCTTCGTTTGGGATGATTTTTTTCCTGCTTCTTAAAGCGATTTTTTAGTATAAAAATTTTAACTTTTGTACTAGAAAGCTACTTTAAGAAGCAGGAAGAAAGCCGCCCAAACGAGCCTTAATCAGCTCTGCGGAAAATGACCGGTGCAGCGAGTGGCTCCTAGTCACATGGACTAGGCACAGTGCTACTAGTGGGTCTTTTAACAACCATCCTAGGTAGGTGACACCGTGAGCTTGTCACGAAGAAAGAAAAACTGCTGCTTAGGTAGGATCTTTTTGAATTCCTCAGCAATTTGACCTGGGTGTTGATATGATGAACAGTGATTGTATTGTATTGGATACAATCTATAATAAAATGATAATCCACTTCAATATATTTTGTCCGAACATGGAAGATAGGATTATGATTAGGGATGTCAATATTTGACACGATCCAAAAATTCGACTCGAATCCAACCCGAAATTTTCGGGTTATGATTAACCCGTTTTTAAAAGGGTCAAATTTGAGTTCCAAGATTCGACATGTTTGAAAAAAGGGTTGAGGTCTGGTCAACCTGCTAACCCGAAATTGACCCGGACTAACTTCGAAGCCTGCGTCGGACAGCTTTGCCCTTCAGTCGTTTGCGTTAAGTCTCGCATCAACTCTCGTCTCCTATCATCGTGTCATGTCATCTTAGCGATCTGTGTGTCATATGTTGTCTGCATGATGTCCACTATTAACGTGCCACCCTGAGCCAGAGGTTGCCGCTGATAGCTGAAGGATCGATAGCACCGTGTCGTCTTCATCACCGCCGTCGCCGCCATTTGCAGCCTCTGTGGTCACCTCCGCCGTCCTAAACCTGTGACCCGTGTTGGTGGGTCGTGTTAGGTTGACCGAAATCCGAAGCTAGTCAGGTTCGGGTCCAAAAAAAGTGATAGGTTTGCAAAAAATGGATTGAGCTTGGGTCGTGTCAACTTGTGTTGGGTCAGTTCCTGGTTGGACCCAAACCTGACCCGTGACCCTAATTTTTACAGCCCTAATTATGAGCAAGTGCTATTGCGAAAAAATTATCACATATACCAGAGTTGGTTGAGATACATTGAATTGTAGATCAATGTGTAAGTGGTGTTGTGAGACCTCGTTCCCTTACTGTTCCTCTCTGACTTGGATTTTCCTCCCAGGATCGTCCGGGACGATATTGAGATCGTCCAGGCCGATCTGTACTGTTCAAAATATCGTCCTGAAAATAGTTCTGGGAACCGTCCAGGACGATCGATTTTGGTCTGATCGTCCCAGGACAATCTGGCGATCGGCCGGGCCGATTAGCCTAATGATATAAGAAAATCAGCTCGTTTTGAGGAGAGAGAAAATCAGTTTTTAAAAATCAGATATTTTGAAGAGAGAGAAAGAGAGGAAAAATAAAGGAAAAGCTTGGTTTCGGAGGCCGCGGAGCGCTTTTTGTCCGACGCCGCTGTTGGAGAAAGTGTAGATCCCGTGGTAAGGACTCCGAATCCTATTTCTGTTTTCAGAGATATTGAGTTTTGACCGAGTTGTGCACTGTTTTGTGTTTTCGTAGTCGAATTTTGGACATGATTTTGATTTGACACAACTTTCACCGCACAACTTTTGGTATGTTATAGATATGACTATTGTACACTATTTGAGTATTTTCTGCGACGATTTTACCGGTCGGAATTGATTCTACGCGATTTTAATTGAATAGAAAAATATCAGGACGTGATTTGATTTGGATTCTATAGAACAATAGTCTTGTATTGATGTCGTGGATATTCTACTGTAATTTGGAGAAATTTGAAATTTGTGCTTTTTTGCAGGATTTTTGTGTAAATTTGACAGACTGCCGTTACTCTGCCCATGGTGATTTGATTGATTGACATGCATATTGATAGCATCGCCGTGCTTTGATTCAGTTATAGGTATTAGGTGACCTGCTGGGCTTTGTAAAGCTCATTATATGTGGTTGATATTTTCAGGTCAGGGCAAGGGAGCAGAAGATAGGAATTGATCCGGATCTTCAGGTTTTTTGTCTTTTGATGATTTTGATTCTTTTGTACTCAGGATAGATTTCAGTACTGGTGATTGTAGTGTAGTTCCTGAGTATTGTACATGACCTTTTGAGATATGAATCAATTTGTATATTGATGTTTTAAATTTTATAGATGTTTGATAGACTGTTTAATTGAAGATTTTAGATAGCTCTGGTAAATTGTTTGAGAAATAGATTGACATTCTTTCCAAGTTAGATCTTGGGGCGTGACAGGTGTATCCAAATGATATTTGTGGCAGCGGTGGCGAGAGCACTATATTCGACTTCAGTTGATGAACGTGAAACTGTTGGCAGCTTTTTAACACCCTAGGAAATGAGTGTATCCCAAAAAATTAGACAATAATCGATTGTAGACTTTCGGTCAATGGGATCACCAGCCCAATCAGAATCAGTGTAAACAATCAAAGTAGTTGAGGCAGAGTTGATAGGAAAACTGAAGAGTAAGGCTCCTTTGATTTATCGAAGCAAATGTTTAAGGGATTGTGAGTGGTGTAATAGTGGTTTATGCATGTATTGGCATAACTTATTTACTGCAAATGAAATATCAGACCTAGTGATGGTTAAAAACTACAATGAACTGAGCAAATTTATATATAATTATGGTTGCTCAAATAGAGAAAGAGAAGCTTCATCTGTTGATACTTTGAGGGTAAGAGGAGTAACAACTGGTTTACAATTATCAAAACCTGCTAGACGAAGGATGTCTGCTCCATATTTTGATTGATTTAGGTGTAGTCCAGTTGACGTAGACATGCCATGAATTCCCAAAAACTAAGAAAGATCCCCAAGAGTTCTTATTTGAAAGGTTTTTTTAAGATTATTGATAAGAGTAGTAGTAGCTTAAGCATTGTTGGAGGTCAACAAGATGTCATCAACATAGACGATAAAGTAAAGAAGAATTGAATTGTCATTGTAGACAAGTAAAGATGGATTGGCCTCACTGTGAGTAAACCAAGAATTTGCATATGTGATGTAAGTTTGGCAAATCACTTACGGGGCGACTATTTAAGAACATAAATGGCCTTGTGAAGCTGACAAACAAAGGTAGGATGTTGAGGATTTATAAATTCTAGCGAAAGTTGCATGTACACAGTTTCTTGCAAGTTACCATGCAAGAATGCATTGGAGACATCGAGTTGTGTAATGCGCCATTGACGATGGACGGGTGCAGTCTTAAATAGACGAATGGTCGATAACATGTCCGCTGGACTAAAAGTTTCGGTAAAATTAATTCCATAGTCTTGAGTATAACCTTGAGCTACCAATTGCGCTTTATATCTTGCAATTGAGCCATCTAAATGAAACTTGGTATGTAGATCTATTTACAACCTAACACATTTTGATCTGGAGGAGGTGGAACAAGACTCCAGGTACCCTGCGATTGAAGCGCTTGAAACTCACTAGACATAACATCGCACCCACACTTATGTTTACCTGTAGCAATATAACAAGTCGGGTAAGCAGCAAGAGAGATAGCATGTTATAGATTTAAAATTTGCTTTGGTTTTTGATATCATGTTTGTTTCCGAGTTACCATACATCAGAGACAACAAGTTAAAACGAAGACATAGTGTGTAGTAGAACTAGATAAAGTTAACCTATGACTTTTTGCAACTTAACAAGAATGACAAATACTAGTAGAAATTGAAATACATAGAGATGGTGCGAGCTAGGCGATGGTAGACAAACTAGCTTGATGTGGATGACCGAGACGACAATGCACATATTGGATGAAGATGAAGTGGAGATGTACGCTACTTCAGTAGGAATGGGATTTGAAGTAGTGGATGGTGGCACGGTGAGGAGGTAAATTCCATCATGGAGAGGACTCGAAAGGATCAAGCGATTTATCTTATGATCCTTAATATAATAGCAATGAGAACAAAAAAAACAGTGCAACTATTGTCAGCAGTTAAGCATTGATGAACGGAAAGAAGATTATGGGAAATGTGAGGTACATGAAGAAAATGAGATAGAGACAACTTACGACGGGGATAGGTAAAAGTTAGTGACCAGTTGTTGAAATTGGAATAGATTGTATGTTGCTGACTTGAATCTATTGTGAACCATGATATGGCCGCATTGAGTTGAGATTCTTTTAATCATTTGTAAGATGAGACGTTGCACTGGTGTCCAATATCCAATAAGTGGACAAAGACTGGGAGTATGTGGATTCGGCGACCAAGGCTGGGGAGGAGTTGTTGATATAATTAAGGTTGGTGCGGTGCCAACATTTAATGGCAGAGTGACCTAGTTTCTCGCAAATTTAACATTCTATTCGTGTAACAGGGGAGGGACCACCTCGGATAGGGGAAAAATTCTGTCGACCAAAAGGATGGAATTGAGAGGAAGTGCAACCTCGATCTATTGTGACGACCAAAGGATGGGCCACTACCACCTCAACTATGAAATGCAGTGAGGGCAACACCAGAAACTAATATCTATACATATTGAAGTTCGCGAGTTACCTCATTTACAATATTGATCTCTTCACTGCACAAGTAAACTGTTATGAGATATAACCATTTATAATCTATTTTTCACTCCCCACCCAATCTATGTTCATAAATCAATATCTAATTGTTGTGAGGAGTTTCCATCTATATAGATTCTTGATTGGATGTCTCATTTAATCGAATAAATTCATCCTATATGATATCAAAATTAGAAAAAACTTTAACAAACTAACTAGAAATGATAACATATTACATATATTAATGATATTAAAACTATTACACTTATATCCATTCAGTCCTAAGATCCAACTAGAAAGCATCACTCTTTCTTTTATGTATTCTAGCATGTAGCTCCTAAAGAAATAGTATATTACCTAACTTATATGTACGTGTGCGTGCAAACAGATATTCATTAACCTTGCATATGCTTGTAAATTATTAAATGAATTATGTTTGAACATTGTTCGAATGTCATTTGAATTAAATTTAGTTGTGGTGTCATTATATATATTATAATTGTTGCATCTTGGAATATTCACAGCGGTAGGGAAATATAAAGTTTAATATTTTAGCTTTGTATGAAGATCCAACACATAATCAGATAAGAGAGATTGTGCAATATTTATAAGGGACACCAAGATTTTTTCGTGGAAACCCCTGAAAAGAGGAAAAACTATGGGGCCTAGCCCACTTTGAATGAATCCACTAGTATTCGTAGTTGATTACAAATAAGACCCTTAATTGGAGGGAAGGCCTTGGCTTGATGTAACAAATATATATCATATAGAATGCATTACACTGTGAAAATTAGAAGAATCAATATTGATATGTTAATTTGGTTGACAGTATCATAGTCGGCGGGCAATGGAGGTCAGAAAGGCTATTTTATAATAATGGATGTCGGAAGGACCATTATTTGGTGGAATTCCAAGAATAATTGGAAGTCGTGTGAAAGTCTGATGTTAGCCGGCGACTGAGTGGAAGTCTGGCATTAGTTGGCTGTCGAGTGTAAGTCCAATATCAGTCGGTGGCCGGGCAAAAGTCTTCGTTAGTTGGTGGTCAGGCAGAAATCTGACGTAAGACGGTGGCCGGGCAAGAATTTGGAATCAGTTGGTGGTCGAGCAGGAATCTTGCGTTAGTTGGTGGTCGAGAAGAAATCCGGCGTCAGATGTTGGCTAGGCAAAAATCTGGCGTCCGTCGGTAGCCGAGCAGAAGTCCGACGACAATCGGTGGCCAGGATAAAATCTGGCAATGGTTGAGGAGGAGTTTGGTGGCAAGAGAACTCTCTTCCTTCTCTTCTTGCTTGGCCCCCCCTCTCATAAGAAATAAGAGGTCTATTTATATTTTTTTGAAAGTGATATGGCCAGTAAAAAGGAGAAAGATCAAGAGTAAATTGAGTGTGGTTTGAATGGAGAACCAATGTTGACCCTTGATCGTTGACCATTTACTAAACATTTGAATGTCTTAATGGTATCAGAAATTGGCGATCTTGAGCTTGTTGGATTCGTCTCGTCGAGCTGCTCGATTCAACTCTAAGTATGTCACATTTGGAAACTGTTTGGTAATCCAAATTATGATTTGAATCTTCAAAATGTGCTTCGGATATTTAACTTGGACTCATTTGGGCTCGGATTGAGTCGAATTTATTGTCGTTGGGTTCGTATTTTCTAGACGTTCAGTTTGACTGTAAGTTTGCTAAAATCGGAGTTCAAATGTTCCCGGATTTAATTTTTGAATTTTCCAACTTAATTTTGATTCGAGATTCATGCCCGATCAAGATAATTTTTTTTATGATATATCAATAATCAACATTAGTGACGTTTTAAAAGAAAATAATATTGATGAAATGGTACAGATCAAAGTCATGCGCATGATGCATTGTAACTTCTTTCGATTTTAAGGCGGTAGAGAAAGTCAAAACTTCGAAATGTCAAAAAGTAGAATAAAAAAAGGTTATGCATCCATCGTATACAGAAAGATATTTAAAAAAAAAAACTAAGAAGAAAATTCCAAATTTGATCTTCATCGAGAAAATTAGAAAGTCAAGAAGATCGGCAAAACTTAGCATAATGCTACAGAATCGATCTTTGTTGGAATAAAATCATCTGTTATTCTATCCTATCTGTACAAGTTTTATTTATCTTCTATTGTGAGGATATTATCTATAGCTCTCTATAATAAATTAAGTTTTGTGTTCTTTACTCTGGCCTATTCTTCCCCTTCATATTTCGCCTATTCATTAATCATTTGATAAAAATAGTTCATTAATGTGTACTAGAATTCTCGGCAATGGAGATAAAGAATTTAACGTTCTAGTTTTATATGAAGATCCAACACACATATAGAAAAAATCACAAATTTTAAGCATAAAATCTAGAAACACAAAAAATCATAGGATCTGACCTAATTTAAGTAATAACTAGCGCATATCATTAGTTCTAATTGGCTAGAGAATTAATATAGCTTAATAGATCTTGACTATGGATGATAAATGTTGGTCATGACGGAAGTCTTTGGATTGTGTGTTCTTCACTTATGTTAATATAACCCTTTTGAATTGTGATGTTGTTTTTCGGAGACTCATGAGAAGCAGCCTTGATGAATTTAAGTAACCAAAATTAGCATATTATATATATATATATATATATATATATATATATAAATTTTAAAAAGTGCTTAAAATCTTGCACTTCATTTTACTCCAATATTTTTTGGCTGGTCCTCCTAGTTGCGAAGAACCTCATTAATCATCCTTTCAAGGTTAATTTGCGAGGCTCCATCGGGATCAATAGCCTTGATTGCACTTTCCTTCCACTCCATCGCCTTATTCCTTATCTCCTTCCCCTTTTGCTCCCCTGTCATCATCTCCCTTATGAGCTCTTCCACCTCTTTCCTTTTGACATTGTTGTCAATCTCCAGCCCCACGCCCCATTCCACGCATGAATACCTACAGTTGGTCTGTTGTTCTGCAAAAAATGGCCAGCAGATCATCGGCACGCCGAAGCTAATACTCTCAATAGTGGAGTTCCAGCCAGAATGCGTCAGAAAAACACTGACTGTTGGGTGCATGAGCACCTCCTCTTGCGCACACCAACTAACCATCAATCCTCTCTCTTTGGTCTCCTCAATGAACTCCAGTGGCAAAACTGAAGATTCTCCTTTAACAAGATCTGGTCGTATCACCCACAAAAAGTGGTATCCGCTGTTAGCCAAACCCCACGCAAACTCCAAGAGCTGCTCATTGGTCATCACTGTAATGCTTCCAAAGTTAACATACACGATTGAGCAAGGATCATGATGACTGTTGAGCCACTCAAGGTAGAAATCATCCTTCTTCCATAGGCTTGCGGTGATGGTGGCGGTGGGACTTTCATTTGAGATTTCATTACGATTGAGGAGAGTGAGAGGGCCAATTGAATAGATAGGGGGCAGTATTTTCTCCAATGCTATTATAGCCGATTGTTCCAAGTCTTCAAATGTGTTGAGGATAATGGCAGAGGCCTGGGAAGCTTGCGACATCTCTTGGACTACAAAGTTTAGCATGATATCATTGGCATCCACAGTGCGAATGAAGGTGGGGAAATCCTTGAGACGCATGTCCTTCATAAGCCCCGGTATCCAATCCACCTTGGCATCAAGGAACCCATCGCTCACATTCCCAATGTCTGTATAAGTGAAGAAAAATAACAAAATTAGATATTTCTACAATTGATCGAAAATATAACAATTTAAGGGGGTCAAATTTGAGCACACTATTTAAAAATGCCAATAAAAAATCATAAGTCGTGAAGAGTAATTCTTAGAGAAATTAATTGTTTCTCAAGTGGAAGTACATCGAGCCAGAGTTTGAGCACCATCTTTTACTTGAACTTTCAACTTGGTTTGATTTGAAAGTGCGTTGAGCGGATAGATTAATTTAAAATATATTAAAGATTTAATTTTTTTAATATTTTAAATTAATTATATATTAAAAATTAAAATTCTTATAAAATTTTAAATATTCTAATTTAAAACTAAAAAATTGAATTGAACATTAAGTCAAGCTCTTAAGCAATCAAGGAGAACTCGAGTTTATAAATTTATTATGGCTGAATTTGAAAAAAAAAAAAAAACTTTTTAGCATTAATGAAATGCAGTAAAGTACAGCAGTATTTTTTGAGAAAATAAATTGTGATGTCAGTGCATCTTAATAATTGAATTTCTTAGAAATATCATGTTTATTTTGTACCTATTTTTTAGAGAATTCAAAAAAACTTTATTAATATTTTATATATCGTGTTATAGAAGGGAAAGGATAGATGAATAAAATATATCTTTGAAAGACTATCTAAGAAAAAAATAAATAAATAATAAAATTATTTCTCCTCTTCTCTCGCCACATCCTTCTTCTCCACACGGACAAATAAGCGATCAGCGATCTTCTCTCCGTGAAGCCGGGATCTCACGAGCTTCTCGCCATCTCGTTCTTACCCCCACTAGCTGAGTTCCTGGTCGCCTTTTGAGCTGGGCTGACTCGTTTACACGCCTCTATTAGATAAATACTCGGCTCAATACGAATCATTCACAGCCCTACTTCCAAAATGGTTACCTTTGAGAGGAATTAGGCCACGGTCGATAAGGTGGCGATAGTAGTTGTACGCGAGGTAGCCGCAGGCGCTGGTTGTCCAGAAGAGAACCTCAGGAATGCCGAGCTCACGAGCAACGTCCAGGGTGAAGGACATGGCTCCATCGGAGACGATGCAGGAGACAGGTGGTCGGCTGTTGTTGTTGATGCTTTCTTCATTGAGTTCTGCCAGGAGACGGCGAAAGTGTGGGAGACAGTTCATGGATGTGGAATCGCAGAGCGTTGGAATGTCCTGCGTAGCGTCTTCTTCGGAGAAAGGAAGGCCGTCGGGGATGGTTTGGAACTGGAAGTCGGAAAGCCCCTTCACGGCCTCCTGGCCGGAGGAGAGGACCAAGCGGCGGTGATTGAACTCGGTGAGGACAAAGGTGATGTGGAAGCCGTGGCTGTGGAGAAGCTTGGCAACCTTAAGCATGGGGTTCATATGCCCTTGGGCTGGAAACGGGACACATACTGCGTGTGCTTTCTCTATTAATGAAGCAGAACCCATCGCCTCCAGTCTCCAGATCTAGATCTCTCCCTCTCGCTCTCCCTCTCCGTGTGTCTCTCTTTCTCTCAAACGTACACATATAGAACATGGTCCGTCCTCTGCGTATTTATGAGAAGATGATGAAGGAGAGAGAGAGAGATATAGGGGGGTCATATAAAAAACGTGCCGGCTATTTCAGTTGACTTCAACTTATTTAAATTGTTCTTACAACTGATACGCAATCAAAAACAGATTTGGTCAAATAAGATTAGAGGTCTAAACGAATTGAGTTGAGTTTGAGTTAGAGAGTGTTTGAGTTCGACTCGCGGCTATGTAACGAGTTCATGGTGCCGCTCGGTTTTCCACCTCATTTTAATTTTCCCGCCCGATTGTGAAGGCTTTATGATAGATTTTTTTTTTTTTGGAAAAATTTGATAGATCTTTTTTTCTTAAACTTTATTATTTTAATAATGATTAAAGCTACAGTATTTATTTGCATGATATTCCTGCCCTATTTTTGTTTACCCGCCTAGCAAGTGAAGTCTTGAACTTAATTTTGCTTTAACTTTTAAATGTAATAAAAATGTTAATTATTAAAAAAAAGAGTTAAACAGTAGTTCTAGCCAGTTCGTGAGCTCACGAGCAGAGGCTCATCGAGCTCCAACTCGAGTTCGTTTAAATGAGCTCGAGCCCGACTCGTAAGCTCGGCTCGCAAGCTTATAAACGAGTCAAATTTGAGGCGGCTCAGCTCACTTACACCCCTAAACAAGACTCTCAAATTCACTATAAAGATTATTGAATTTGAGCAAATATCTCGGTTGAGCCTCATCGAGCTCAAACTCGAGTTCGTTTAAATGAGCTCGAGCTCGGCTCACGAGCTTAATTATAAACGAGTCAAATTTGAGGAGGCTCAACTCACTTACACCCTTAAACAAGACTCTCAAGTTCACTATAAAGACCGTTGAATTTGAGCAAATATATAGCTAAATTGATTTTTTTTCGAACAACATAAAAAATGATCCCACCCAAACTCGAATAAGCCTACATAGAAAACTCGAAGCATTGTAGTAAACTACAGCACACTAATTAAAAGATCAAATGATTTTTAAAATTTGCATACTCTTAAAAAAATCGAGTGTGTCAATGAGATAAACATAAAGAGTATAAGATTTCCTAATTCTATTATCAATAATGCATTAATGCAACATAAAGTCTATAATTGATATATAGGTGGTTTGATTGAGTGTTTCAGTATTTAACTCTATTTAAAAGAAAAAATCTATAAATTGGCCCTCAAAATATATTTATATTATATTATATTAACATTATTCTCATTGTAAAGATCGACTGTAATACATGTATTAAAGATCAATACATGAAAAATAAAACAGGAAGAAACAGTGAAGAATAAAGAAGAAACTCTCTGTGGTATTTCTCATTTCTATATTAAATGCACTGTATAGTATCGAAATGATTTATGTGGCAGTGGCGGCTACATTGTGCTTGATACAATCTCTAAAAAATGATAATCCACTTCGATATATTATGTTCGAACATGAAAGATAGGATTATGAGCGAGTGTTATTGCTGAAAAATTTTCACAGCATACCAAAGTTGGTTGAGATACATTGAATTGTGTATCATTGAGTAAGCGGCGTATCCAAATGATTTCTGTGGCAGTGGTGGCGAGCTCGCAGTATATGATTTCAGTGGATGAATGTGCAACTGTGGCCTGCTTTTTAACACCTCATGAAATGAGTCTATCACCAAAAGATAGACAATAACTGGTTGTAGACTTTAGGTCAAGGGGATCACCTGTCCAATCAGAATCAATATAAACATGGAATGTACTTGAGGCAAAGCTGTAGGCAAATTAACCGAAGTGTAAGGTTCTTTTAATATATCGAAGCAAATGTTTAAGGGATTGGAAGTGATGCGATAATGGTTTATGCATGTATTGGCATAACTTATTTACTGCATAAGAAATATCAGATCTAGTGATGGTTAAATACTGCAAGGAGCCCACCAAATTTCAATATAATTATGGTTCCACAAATAGAGAAAGAGCAGCTGCATATGTTGATACTTTGAGAGGAAGAGGTGTAACAACTGGTTTACAATTATCAAAACCCGCTCGATGAAGGATGTCTGTTACATATTTTGATTGATTTATGTGTAGTCCAGTTGAGGTAGGCAAGGCCTGAATTCCCAAAAACTGAGATAGATCCCCAAGAGTTCTAATTTGAAAGGTTTGTTTAAGATTGTTGATAAGAACAGTAATAATTGAAGCATTGTTGTCAGTCAACAAGATGTCATCAACATAGATAATAAAATAAAGAAAAATTGAATTGTCATTGTAGACAAGTTAACATGGATCGGACTCACTGTGAGTAAAACCAAGAGTTCGCATATGTGATGTAAGTTTTACAAACCACTTATGGGGCAACTATTTAAGACCATAGATGGCATTGTGAAGCTGACAAACAAAGGTAGGATGTTAAGGATCTTAAAATTAATCCTTGTGACTGTTGCATGTACACTGTTTAATGCGCTATTGATGATGGGCAGATGCGGTTATAAATAGACGAATAATCGATAGCTTGGCCACTGGACTAAAAGTTTTGGTAAAATCAATTCCATATTCTTGAGTATAACCTTGAGCTACAACTACAAAAAAATATGTCTATTGCAGCACAAATTTGGACTTTTCCCCACGGTTTTACTCGTCACAAATTTACTTGCAGTGGTTTTAAAACCGTTGGACGCCCGTCGTGATTGCAATGAGCCGCAAAGACATTTCGCGGCAGATTCATAACAGGCTGGGTAGAAATTACGAAATGCTAAATTTCGCAGCGGTTTAAACCGCCACAATCTTACAAAAATGTAGCAGTCATAATTGCCACAAAAATAAATAAAATAAATGATCTACATAATTGTGGCAATTTTAACCGCAACAATTATGTAAAGTTATGGTGGTTTAAACGGCCACAAACTTCCAAAATTTTCTTTTTAAAAAATGAATCGCAAAACATTACATTTCAAAGACTTGACTCATTGTGTAACATTGCATGACCAGCTAAATCTGAATGAAAAAATTTATATCAGAGCAATAATTCATCAGGATTTTAAAACTTTGGTATTACTTTGAAGTTGAAACAGTAAGAAAGCCATCCCAAGATATCAATTCTCATCCCTTCTTAATTATTACCAAACTATAGAAAACATAGTGGGGATGATATAAGAGATTAGTCTAAAACAAGAAGAGAGAAAAAAACTGAGATGTGGCGAGTAGAGTTCTAAACATAGATCGTAATCAGGAATCAATAAACTATACTCCATATTCATTAGCCAAACTTGGTGCAGATCCTACAGTGAACAATCCAACGAACAAAGGAAAATTAAAACTACACTGGTTATAGCCGTATATAAAGATTAAGGAAAAGAAAAAGAATTGATTATTCCGTCAAGTTCATCTATCCCCAATGGTTAGTCGTATGCGCGACCCAATCTGCCCTCCCATCGACCCGTTCGTGTCGAGCGTAGAGGCCTACGATCGTTTTGTCCTACGGGATAGTGCGGCCATACCCTCTGCATTCGAACCCCCGCGAGCGGTGCTCCTTCGGAGGCCCACAGTGGTATTAAATATTAAGGATCATTATATATATTATAATTGACATCAGTGATGTTTTAAGAAAATGGCATTGATGAAATTGTATAGATCAAAGTCATGCATGATGCATTGTATCGTCATTTGATTTTAATTTTGAGGTATATATATAAAGTCAAAACTTTGAAATGTCAAAAAATTAAATAAAAAAATATTATGCATTCATCACATATAGAAAGATATTCAAAAATTATATGACCTAACCTAATTTAAATAATAAATAAGACCTAACCATTGTTCGTAGTGATTGTCAAAATCAAATATCAAGTTGAGCTCTAAAATTTTCCAAATCTCAAAGTTCTTCAATTTTAAATGAAGGTTCCCCCTTTATATGGTGAATGTGGATATATTTATAAATTTTTAAGTAATATTTTGATCCAAACTCTAAATCCCCTAAACACTCCCTCAAACTATTCATAATTGATTCAATTCATCATAGATTATTTTTTTTATATTCAAATGCAATGATAACCCTATGAAATACATATTGGCGGAGAAAATTAAATCTTTGGGTTGTGTGTTCTTCACTTATGTTAATGTAATCCTTTTGAATTGTGATGTTGTATTTCGGAGACTCATGACAAGCAGCCTCAATGAATTTAAATAATCAAAATTTAAGTATATAGAGCAATGTGACATTAATTTTGTAATTATTTATAAAAAATTTATTGCAAAGTTTAGAAAGTGCTTTAAATCTTGTACTTCATTTTACTCCATTGTTTTTTGGTTGGTCATCCTTGTTGCGAAGAAGAACCTCATTGATCATCCTTTCAAAGTTACCTAGTGAGGCTTCATCGGGGCCAATAGCCTTGATTGCACTTTATCAAAATATGGGTAGAATCCAGAACAGTAACTGAAACCTCGCCACTCAACTTTAGGTTAAAAAAAAAATTTACGTATCGCATCGAGAGGAGGTCGCTTGCCCGGAAAGAAGCCAACCAAAGAAAACCTAAATGGTTCCGCTAAAGCCCCAATTTCTTCATCAGAAACCCACAAAGCAGGAAGACCACGAAAGGTAGAGTGCTTCAGATCAGGAAAAGAAGAAGAAGAACCAGCAAGAGCTTGAAGAAAAGACTTAGGGTGAGAAATCCCCCCAAAAAAGCCAGGATCTCTCAAAATAGACGAAGGCATACCGAAAATGCCGGAGAAAAGGAAAGAAAAACCACAGAGAAACAAGAGAAGAGAGTAGAGAACAACTTTCCTGAAGAGGCAGAGCGGAAAATCCCCCGCCGACGGCGGAAAAGCGCCACGACGCCACCCAAGAGAAAACCCTAGGGTTTTCTCGGAGAGCAGCGCAACGAACAAAGTGTTTCTAATATGGTAAGGATATATATAAGGTTGTAGAAGTTAAAGAATACATGAATAAAATATATTTTTTGATAAACTATCTAAGAAAAAAATAATTAAATAATAAAACTATTTCTCCTCTTCTCATGCAACATCCTTCTTCTCCACACGGACAAATAAGCGATCAGCGATCTTCTCTCCGTGAAGCCGGGATCTCACGAGCTACTGCAAGCCGGGTTCGTGGTCGCCTTTTGAGCTCAATATGAGTTCGGGCTCAAATTTGAACTCATGATTTGGCGGACAAGTTGAGCTCGACTTAACTCATTTACATGCATCTATTAGATAAATACTCGGCTCAATTCGAATCATAAACACCCCTACTTCCAAAAGAGTTACCTTTGAGAGGAATTGATATTCCTTACCCGCCCAATAAGTGAAGTATTGAACTTAATTTTT